TGGCTGACCACGCTGGCGGCCGCACTGACCTGCTTCAGCAGCTCGGGGTCGTCTGTGGCAGCCTGGCAGGCCCTCACACAGTTCTCCACAGAACGGTCCACCAGCTTCCCTGCCTCAATCAGCTGCTCCTGACACACGGGAGAGCTGATGGTGGGACTCACCACCTGCGCCGGGAAGGACACGGAGAACTCACAAAAAGCTCATCTGCAAGTTTCCCCACTGCTAACAAGTAAAACATCTACTGGGTTTATTCATCTTTAAATGACCTGTTTTCCCCAGACAGAGGATGGTGAGAGTATTTCAGTAGCAGCTTTGGACATCTAGATTAGGACTTGGGGCTCTGCACGCTGTTAATCTCAGTTTAGGCTTGAGAATGGAGGCCCCACCTCGTTTCATGCTTCTCCAGCAGCAACTGAACTGAGGAAACACTGGACATCTGATCTGGAGGGCAGGCATGGGCCAAACTCCTCCAGGGCAACCACATCCACTGGCAGACTCCTGTGCCCTGTGACTCCAAACCCATGAACTGAACTGGTCCTGCAAAGCCTTCTCAAATGAGCCTCTTGGTTAAAACAAGTAGTGCTTGGCACAAGCCAAACAATATTCTACTTCTGCAGAGACAAAACAAGTAACAAATACCTATTAGAAACAACCCTCCCCCATCTGGTCTGGGCATATCTGGACAGCTTTTAGCCATAGGAAGATTGTGCATATCTTTGGAGGAGCACAGGAAAACTGGGTGTGCCCTACGTCGTACTGAAGAAGTGACACAGCTCCTCGGGTAGGCTACGCTTGTGGAACTTGTATTTTTTACTTTATGTTTAATCCATACTAGCAACTCATCAGATGGGCTCTGCTACCTGTGGAACCTTCTCTCTGGGGATCACACCAACAACTGCTGCATGTGACAATTTACTCACCACCAACCTTCGACAGTGTGTAAATTTAGAGCTCTGGTATTAGCACAGCACATTGTGTGAGCCCATCAGAAATAAGCAGCACCACTCACTGAAACGAGGCCTTGTCACCTCACACACAGCACCAGCCTCACCTTAGCACAAGCCACGAGCTGGGAAGTGGAGAGTGCACACTGGGTAGCAGCAGCAATGACCCTGTTCTGCAGGACTGTGTCCTCAGCCACCTGCGCCACGTTCTTGGCCTTCAGCACTAACATGGCAGCAGCGTTTGCAACAGCTTTGGCCAAACTCATCAGGACATCCTGGTAAAAGAAAGGGACAACTCAGGAACAAAAACATATGTACTTAGCCTAGATTAAGTCTCCTGACAGAAAGAAGTTCTCTTATACCAAAACCTGAACGCTCTGTTTTGTACAAAGCAGCAGACATGGCTATTGCTCAGAAAACTCAAGGGTTTTCTGTCCTTGGCACCCATTTCTCCAGCTACATATCAAGTTATCAGACTGAAGGAGTATAGACTGTCAAGCAGTTAGTTCAGAGTGCATAGGAAGAAACTTCTGTCCCAAATTGCTTATCTTCACTTCCTGGTTTTAGCTAGGATAAGCCATCCCTTTGCTCACCCACCTTCTCCATCCCTCCACAGCACTTAGAATGCTAAGTTCTTCCTCAGAGAGAGAGGGCTGTAATACAAACTCAACTAGGAACACAAGTGAGGACTCTGATGGAGCTCGCAGACAGATTTACTAGTGGCCTGTAAGTTTTGTCAGCAGACCCACTGCACACAGTGCACTCCAGAGCTCTGTATCTGCTGCTCAAAGCACCTTCTCCTGGTTCTGGGGCAAACCTGATCTTGGCATTGAGGGACAAAATCCAGACATTTTTAAGAGAGTACTTAAGAACAATGGTTTGAAACTGCTAATAGAACCACTGTTGAGTCATAAGGCATTCTGACTTTACAACTGATAACACAAACAAAAACCCTGAGCCATGTGCCCTGGGCTGGCCCTGCTGGAGCAGGGAGGGGGGACCAGGGACCCACTGTGGTCCCTCCAACCTAACAGACTCTGTACTTCTGTGAAGAGCCACAGTGCCCCAGCTCTCCCTGACACCCTAAGGCACGAGGAGGTGCAGAGAATGAGGCAGAGCTTCTGCCACGCTGTAATTAAAACTGACTTCACAACGGATGAACTTCAGTCAGTACAGAGAAGCTCCAGCATTGCCCAATGACACCTGGGGAAGAGGTTTCATGCAGAGGCTCCTGAACACTGCACAGCTCTGGCAGCGACAGCCACCCCTCCTTACCTGGAACCTTTCATCTGTCTCATTCTCTCCAATCTGCCTCAGCAGCTCCCCACTCGCCTGCCCAATGCTGCCAGCTGCACTCAGCACCGTCTGGCGAGGCTGGAAAAGGTAACAGGGAAACACAGTCAGTCAAAGAAAACCTACCTGACCTGAATTTTACATCTCTCCAATACGGCTAAAAAAATGTCATGACAGAAATACTTTTGCAAAATCTTTACTTCTCCACAGGCACAATGGCACATCCATACTTCAGGGACTTCACCTCAAGTGCCACAGAGAACGTGCAAAGGATTCTGAAGAACCTAATAGACTTTGCTGTCATAACTCCATGGATAATTCAGGATAAACAGTTGATATGTCAACTGATCTGAAACATCAGGAGACTTCATGTTCTTCAAAACATAAATACCTGAAGAGACCTGAGGCAAACTGGCTACAGGCTCCAAATCCTAACAAGCCAATCAAGGCAGTTTACCCTGGTCAGTACTACTCTCATTTCTGGAAATCTACAACATGTGAATTAACTTCTCATTTTATGTGCCAAAGTAGACAAAGACAGTAAGGAAAAAAATCATGAACGAGTATCTCTGCACTTCCTGTCTGAAATTTGTTTCTGAAAGAGAATACAGTGCCCAGATAAACTGCACAAATCAATCAACCTCTGTGTACAACACACAATACTCTAAGATCAAGATGCAAGACTTTAAGGCATAAAGACAGATGAAGGATTAAGAAGTAGTCAAAGGAGCTGCTTGACAGGGAACACTTTGCAGCACTGGACAGCTGAGGTGTAGAAGCTAAGCAGTCTCAAAAAAATCAAAAGCTATGCACTTCAGAAAGAGAACCTGAGAAGTTTCCATCACTCACCTCCCCTGAAGTAGGTTGCACAGCCTTCAGCAAGTCTGAGACAGCACTGGCCAATGTCCGAGCAGCTTTCAGGAGGTCTTCTCCACTCCCAACCTCATCATCCATGAGAGCAGCAAGGAGTTTCACACCTTTGGACATCTCGGTGAGGTTGGACGAGATGGTAGTAATTGCACATCCCACAGCAGTGTAATCAGTGTCAACTGGGTCCCCTGGAGAGCAGAGTTTTTCTGTGAGCAGAATGCTTTAGTTGTCACAATTCTAACAGAATTTTTCTTCATTCACTGCCATTTGCTGAAAACCCACAGTTTCAGCTACCTTTCCATACTGAAAGAACCTAAAGTAATACAGTCTTGTCCCTTGAAAGCCACTGGCAGCTCCTTTGACTTGTAATTTGCTGAAGAAAAAAAACACTGTCCACAAACACAACCTCTCTTTAACATCTGACAGATCAATAATGCTTTCTTGTAGCAACCTTCAAACACTCTGCTTTGCTGGATATGCAAGCTACATTTTATTTTGTTGGTGGCTGTGTCTTTAGTGCAAGAGAGAAATCGAAGACACAATTGTGTTGGGAAGGACACAAAGTTTGTTCCACATGTCAATGCACTTAGCTATTGGGATGTCTTAAAGAAAATCTTTCTACAGCTGCCCCATACTCAGTTCCTGTGTTACTTAACTTAGGCTGACCAGTAGCTGGGAGGCTGCAAGGAAATCCTTCCTGCCAAAATTTACCTGCTGTAAGGTTAACAACAGAAGCAGTTCCTGCAGTGATTGCATCAACCTGAGAGTGTATTTCATGCTTGGACTCATCAACCTTGTTCTGAACCCACACTCGTGATGCCTGGGGAGCAACAACAGAAACAAGAATTAAGGACTGCAGTGAGGGTCTGTAAGTGAAGGTTCTCCCTAAAACTCCCATTCCTTCATGGACATTTAGAAGTGAAACAGAGGACAACCACCAAGCCCTGAAAGTGAAACATGAAAACAAGCATTTTCTTCTGCTGCTTCTCCTACTCGTGTTGTTATCACATTCCAACAGTTGTCCTTGTAAGGCCAATGCCACAAACAGTGCACTCATGAAGGCTGAACACTCTGGACTGACAGTGCCCCATAAGCAATAGCCCTCTTGCTCTGTCTTCCTGCCCTAACCTGGATCAGGAACATCAGAATCACATTTTCTCTGACTTTCCAAGTGTCTAGGAGGCAGTCACTCCCACCACAGACACTGACCATAGCTCGTGTTCAATTGTACATATGCCCACAAAACAACAGCATTCCAGACATGTTCATGCAAGGAATTCTGCTACATCTCAGGAGACTGATTTGAGTGAGGTGGAACACTGCACATCAATTTCTTGAAAAGAGCACAAAACTCTTATCCCATTTAATAAGCTTCAGTGGTATCACTTTAGATCCAGGGACAATCACTAAAAGTGATCTGCTAACACCCCAAAGCAGAAGACTCATTTCTGTGAGGTGTAAATCACTCACCATGTCCTGCCCTAGAGGTGGCAGGTTATCCACTTCACTGAGGTCAGCCTGTGCCTGCTGGACAGCATGCATACTGGTGTTGATGGTCCCCATCAGGGCCTGCTGAGCTGAGGTCTGAAAGGCAGAACAATGTAATCACTGTGTCTGACTCACTTGTGTTCTAGGAGCATGAAAACCAAACTTGCTTCTAGGATATCATTACAGCTACAGGAGGACCAACACTGAAGCAGGTTCTCCTGACAGGAAACACAGCTCTCAGAGGACCAACACTGGAGCCACTTTATCCTGAAAGACTGCAGCCCACAGGAAGGACACACTGGAGCTGGGGAAAAGTGTGAGAAGGAAGGAGCAGCAGAGAGGGGCTGCTGTAACTTCAGGGAGCAGGGAGTAGAACAATCAGAAATGAAGGAGTGAAGTTGAGCCTGTGCAGAGAAAAGGGGTAGGTGGGAAAGTGTTTTAGTTTTCATCTGTTTCTCACCATCCAAGTGACAATAAATTAAATTAAATTCCCCAAGCTGATTCTGTTTGACCCATGAAGGCAGATGGTGACCTGCCTGACTTTACCTTTACCTAGGCTGAGATAAAGCCTGTTTTGTCTTAGCTATCACACACACAGACACTTCTTGAAGAGCAGGAGTGAGAAGGCAGCTGGGCAGGCATTTGGCAAAGCCAAGGTTGATCCACTACATGGATTACACTTTTAGTAATATGTCATGATCCTAAGTACTGATTATATTCTTTACAGAGTGTTTAAGACTTTGAAAGTCCTTTACCTTAAATGAGACCACGCAGCATCAGCTTTAAGCATGTTAAGAAGTTTCTGCATGGGTGGGCTGCTGATCTGCCAAAAGTAAGGCTTTTCCTTCAAACTGCTTACTTTTGCAAGTCTTAACACTTTTTTTAACCCTTGAATACTAGTTTAACTACTTGGAAGTAAAGTGAAGGCTGGAAGCGCTGGCTTTAAAGAGCAGGAGGACATCAGTCAAAATGTGATACCCTAAATATTTCAGAGATCCTCAAAACCCACGTGTGGTAGGAAAGCCAGGAAATTACAGCCCAAACTCCTGCTCCCAGCAACGTGTGTCACTTGCTGCTTCTGAGTGCTCACAGCACAGGCACGTTTCAAACACAGGAAGGAGCTGTGAATGCAAGACAAGGAGGCTGCTCACAAGGGGGGGCATATGTCCTCTGTGCATCTGGCCCACGGTGACCTGCTGCTGGGGGGAAGGCATGATGCCAATGTTGAAGGTCTCGGGGCCGCTGGAGCCCGAGCGCATGACTGCAGGCAGTGCCACAGAGCCATGCTCCACCTTCCCCGTGCGGTTGAACTGCTGCTGCAGAATGGTGGGCCTGGAAAAAATCCAACAGAGAACTGGTGAGCTCCTGCAAACCAACATCTCCCCCATCTTCTTCCCTTAGGTTCTTAAATTTCATTTCAAAACCTCTGGAGAAGCTGGAAAACTTTCTTTGTAACCATTTCCCAACATGCTAGAAAAAAATAATCTGGGGCTTTTGCCAGATCAGTTATTAGCAGCACCGAGGGGAGAAGGCAATGTGTAGCTTTGGTGCACATGGTGCAACAGCTTCACACCTTTTAGATGCGTAAGAGACAGAACCAGAACAAAGCTTATGGCAGAACAAGTGCTTCGTTTCAGATCAGGCCGATCAACAGGAAATAAAAGCATAAACCTCGTGGAGACATCTTTTTCAAGCACTCCCTAGGACTGGGATAGAACCTAAGACTCCTCCTTCCCCCTTTACACACACACAGCACTTACTGATCATCTGGCACTATCAGAAGGTTTGGCAGGACACTTTCAAGAACAATAAATAGTCAGCCATCCATGGTCATGAACTGCTTTGCCAGACACTGCTTATATTTAAATATGATTCAAGTTTTAGTAGCTAGAAGCACTGTCAGAAATTCAGGCTTGAACAACACTGTTGAAGGGGAAGGGAGAAGTGACTTCAACAGGAAAAATCTTGTCCTATCTGTTAGAAGCTCTGGGCTTCACTGCACAGCACTAGGCTGGCAGAACAATCTGGAAGTGATTTGGAAAGGGCCATGTCAAAACAAAGCACATTTGAACACGTGTGATCCATCCAGCTGAAATTTCACATAAGGCCACAGTAAATATCCAACAAGTCTATCCTCTATAAACCATATGTCTAACCATAAATCAAATGGACTTTTCACACACACTCTGCTGACACTGCCATCCCACAGCTCCAAGAGGAGACTCGTGTTGCTCATTACAGCTTAGAATGCCACAAACCTCTTCCTATTCTTTCACTGCAAGGAAAGATTTAACATTCTTTTGAAGAGCATGGCCAGCTCTACAGCTCTGTGTCTTGCTATATTCAGTCACTCTCCCACTACCCCACAGCCTGACCTAGCAGCACAAACCCCTGGCCCTTACCCACACCACACACCTGGTTGGCTTGTTGGGTGAAAGGAGCCAACTCTGCCCATAACACACTGCACAACTCAACTGACAGGAGCCAAATTTACTGAAACTATGGAACTAGCAACTAAAACCTTGCAAATTCTATGTTTTTGGCATGAAGACCAAAAAACTAATAGACCATTTGCAGCTCTGCATCACTATCCCCCCTCCCTGCCCCAGCACTTTGCTGAAGTACAGCCTGAGTTCCTGGGTTCAAGGGTCAGGTTAGCACAAACTGCTGCCACTGCTGGTTGCT